AGATGTTTGTGTGATTTGGGCAAATTGAGTGAGTGGTCAAACACATGGGCAGATGAAATATAATGTGGGTAAATGTGAGGTAACCCACTTTGATTGCAAAAATAGGAATGTAGATTATTATCTGAATGGTGATAGATTGGGAAAGGACCTGGGTGTCCTTGTACACCAGTTACTGAAAGTCAGCATGCAGGTGCAGCAGGTAAAGAGGAAGACAAATAAATGCTGGGGTTCATAGTGAGAAGATTCAAGGATAACAGCAGGGATGTCTGACTGTAATTGTATAGAGCCTTGGTGATACCATACCTGGAGTGTAATGTGCAGTTTTGGTCTTCTTATCTGAGGAAGGATGTTCTGGCAATAGAGGAAGTACAGTGAAAGTTTCCCAGATATATTTCTGGGAAGGAAGGACTGACATGAAGAGAGAGTGGATTATAGCATATGGTTTGTTCTCACTTGTTTAAACTCCTTTCTACTATTAAATAAATGAGGTCATTTTTGTGCAGTACAAGTTGATCTCTCACCATGTTACATAAGCGATTTTATTTTTGTTGAAAATATTGATTCCCCTTTCCAGAGAATCTTTCATCATCCATTTTCTGATGGTTTCATCTTCAGCCCTACTGACACTACTGTGCAGAGCTCAATTACATTAATCCAGATCAAGATTCACTTGACGTGCTCTTCCATATTCCACAATATCTTTGATGACCTTATTATCCTAATCACCAAAATAGTGTCACCATTTGGTTTGGACCAATTTGCCTTTCATTTGTCTGTTGAAATGAATGTTAGGCTACAATTTTAGCTGCTTGATTGGAACAAGGCTGAACACAAAAAGTTGCTACCTCAGGTTGGCATCCAAATAAACAACTTAGAAAATAGGAGTGAGTAAACCATTCAGCTAATTGAGCCCATTTCACTATTCAACATGATCATGGCAGAACCTCATTGTCATATTTCTTCTCTCACCCTGTACCCTTTTTAAACCTTGAACTTCTAGAATTCTATTTATTTCATTCTTAAAAATACGCAGTAACTTGGCCTCTATAGCATTCTGTGGTAGAGAATTCCATAAGTTCCCTACCCTCTGAGTGAAGAAATTTCTCTTCCTGTCAGTTGGAAATAGCCTACCCATCTCCTGATTCCGTGACCTCTTTTAGTGGACTCTGTGGCCAGGGGAAGCATCATTCCTGCATCCAGTCTATCCGGTCCTTTCAGAACTGTATGTTTCGCTGAGACGCTCTCTCATTCTTCTAAACTCCAGTGTTCACAGGTTCATTTGACCCAATATCTTCTCACATGACAAACCTGCCATCCTAGTAATCAGTCTGGTGACTCGTTGCTGTACTCCATTTATACTGCATATCTCTTCTTAGGTATGGAGACCAAAACTGCACACAATATTCCAAGTGTGGTCTCACCAAGGCCCTGTACTGACCTTTTTGTTCCTGTGCCCAAACACTTGCAATAAAGGCCTATTTACCTTCCCAACTCCTTATTGCACCTGCATGCTTGCTTTCATTAACTGTTGTGCAAGGATAGGCAGGACCCTTTGTACATCAAGCTTTTCCAGCCTATCACCGTTTAAAATATATTCTGCCATTCTGATTTTCCTACTGAAGTGAACAAATTCACTCTTATCTATGTTATACTGCATCTGTCAAACAATTTACCTACTCCACTCTACTTATCAGAAACCTCTTTACATAATCTTCACCATTCACATTCCCCCCTACTTTTGTGTCATCAGCAAATTTGGAAATATAAAATTTGAATCCCCTATCCACATGATTGATATACATTGTGAATAGCTGGGGTCCATGCACATGCTATAATCCACTCTCTCTTCATGTCAGTCCTTCCTTCTCAGGAATAAATGTACGAAACCTTCATTGTACTTCCTCTATTACCATATGCATCACTGCCTTCCATTCTGAAAATGACCCATTTATTCCTCCGGCTAATCAATTCTCAATTCATATCAGCATATTGCCACCAATTCCATGCGTTTTGGTTTTGTGCAATAACCTCTTATGTGGGACCTTATTAAAGTATTCTGAAAATTCAAACAGTCCATGTTGACTTCGTGTAATCCAGCTGGTATTTTCTCCAAGTGTCCTGTAATTACATCTTTTATAAGGGATCTTTGTTTGTCTGCCCTAATAATTTCCTTTTTACATTACATGAAACCTCTTATGATTGCTTTTATGTTCCTTGTATGTTCACTTGTAGTCTTTTCTTTACTGTCTTAATTAACCTATCGGTCCTCCTTTGCAGAATTGTATACTGTTTCCAATTCTCGATCTTGCTACTTTTTTCTGGCAACTTAATATGACTCCTCTTTGGATCCAAAACAATGCTTAATTTCATTTTTTTAGCAATTGTTCTACCACTCTTTTGGTTATGTTTTTCAGGTGAAAGGAATATGTTACTGTTGAAATGGGGCACGCATTCATTCCTTAAATATGAACCATTGCCTGTCCAATTTCCTGCCTTTTAATGAAGTTACCAATCAATTTCAACCTTTCACTCATAAGGCCATAAGATGCAGGAGCAGAAATGGGCCATTTGGCCCATTGAGTCTGCTCCACTGTTCAATGAGATCGTGGCTGATCTGATCATCCTCAACTCCATATCTGCCTCATCCCCATAACTCTTGATTTCCTTATTGATTAAAAATCTGTCTATTCCAGCCTTGAATACTTAACAAACCAACCCTGACATCCCATTTGCTATGAAGAATTCCACAGATTCATTACCTGTAGAGAAAAATTCCTCATTGCTGTTTTAAATGGGTGATCACTTACTCTGAGATTATTCCCTCTGGTCCTAGACTCTCAGACAAGGGGAATCAACTTCTCTACATCTACCCCTAGGAATCTTATGTTTCTCTCCATACCTAGTATCTCTGAGTGAACCTTCTCTAGATTGCCTGCAATGCCAGTATGTCTTCCCTTAGATAACAAGATTAAAACTGATTACAGCATTGCAGGTATGTTTGATTCATGTGTTGTGTTTCTTTAGCAAGCCCTCCCTAATTTTATACTCTACTTCCTTCAAAATAAAAGCCACCAATCTGTTTGCCTTCCCTGTCACTTGGATGCTAGCTTTTTTTTGCATAAGAATCCCCAAATCCCTCTGTGCTGCAGCTTTCTGAAGCGTTTTTCCACTTAAATGTTCAACTTCTTTATCCTTCGTGACAAAGTGCATAACCTCACATTTTCCTACAATATATTGTATTCCAAGTCCTTACTCAGTCACCAAGCCTGTCTATATCCTTCTGTAGAGTTATTGTGTCATCCTCATTACTTGCCTTACCAGCTATTTTTGTGTCATCTGCAAACTTGGTGACACGACATTCACTTCTGTCATTCAAGTCAATTTTATTATATTTTAAATGTGTCCATCCCTCACACCTTCATAGTTTCCTTTGTTTAAGTTTAGGACCCTAGGTTCTGATTGCACTTTCTATCCCAATGAAGAATTCTATGATGTTATGGTCATAGGGGAAACAGCCAGGTAGTCAACCAAGCCATAGTACTGTTGCATATGATGACCACTGCCTGTTATGAAAAATGTTTTGATTCTACATCAAAATCTATACTTGTACCTCTGCAAAATTCTGTAGTCAGTTGTGAGCTAAGAATTTAATTCTGTGAGAACATTTTATCCATCTTTGTTAATTGCATGTTAATTATGTTTAATTCTATACATGTGGTGGCATTAACTGAAGATTTACACATGTTCAGTTTCAGTCTGAAACTGCAGTTGTTGGGTGAGGAGGTGCCTGTTTAGTAATACATATCTCTATAAAGAAATCTCATGAAAATGTGTAAAGATTGCCTCTGGTACTAGCCTTCAACATCTGGCTTCAGGTTTAGAACAAGCTAGCTCCTGCTCTAAAATCTAAACAAAATGAAGACTAACCTTGAATATTGATCCAGATTGTGATTTTTTTAAGTTTAAAACATTTAAGGACTTGTTGAAGCTGCTGGGACGAGACAGTGTTAAAATACGAATATTGCCACTGTCTCTTAATATCTCTAGAACCTCTGAATGGCTTCATGTTGAGATTACCTTGCCTGAGATAATTATGCAATACTTTGCTCCTGAACTTTAGGCTGCAACATATTGGCAATATGGAAATATGCCATTTATATTGCAGGATGCTTCTGCAGCACGTGAGCAACACATTTGCATTGTCTACAAATATGTAAAACTACAAGATAGTTGATGGCTAAAAAGGGCAGGACAAATACAATCACATCGAACAAAATATTCAAGAAAAATACATTTTATTCACGTTTTCTTCAAGCTGGCAGTTGGAAATGAGATTTCTCCTTCACATCTCCAACTGCTAATGAAGCAAGTTAATTTTATATTTTGAATTGAACCGTCATTTGATTATTTAATTTATTCTCATATTGACAACACGTAAGTGTCAATCATGGTTCAGTCGACTGTATTTTCACTTCTCAGTTAGAAGGTTGTCGTTTCAAGCCCCACTCCAGAAATTTGAGCACAAAGTCCAGGCTAATATTTCTGTGCAGCACTAAAAGCTACTCTCTTGGAGATAACAAGGTATAGAGCTGGATGAACACAGCAGGCCAAGCAGCATCATAGGAGCAGGAAGGCTTGTTATCTCTCTTGGAGATGTTGTCTTTTGAATGAAATTTTAAACCGAGGTGCAAAAAAAAATGAAGCGTTGTTTTAAGAGGACTAGATTTATTTCCGGTGTCTTGGCTAATGTTGATCCCTCAATCACCATCACTAAAAACCAATGATCTGGGCACTATCACATCACTGATTGTGGGAGTTGTATGCAAGGTGGTTGCTGCGTGCCCTACACAGCAACAGTAACTATGCTTTCAAAGTACAGTACTTCATTGGTTGTAAAACACGTTGAGGCGCCCTGAGGATAAATGCAACTTCTTCATTTATTTAATAATAAGATGTCTATTGTCACATCAGTCACTAAAATAACTTTTTCCAATAGAATTTGTATCTCGAAGGAAACGCCATCTCTGGACTTTCTGAGGACTTCTTTCATCAATTACCAAATCTTCTCTGGCTGGATTTGCGAAACAATAAGCTCAGAAGCCTTCCTCATTCGATTGGAGACCATAGGTTTGACAATTTTTTTTATTGACTTAGAAATGTATGCTTGTGTGCCTCATTTCATTATTTCATTTATTGTCAGTCGAGAAAATATTTGTATTTGGAGGATTGGGTGTAACTGGTTGGTTATTGTTTTCCTGCTATTTTATGGGAGTTATTTTATGGGAGACGTGAACACAAAGTTCAAGCTGATGCTTCAATGATGTACTGAGCAATTGTTACATTGTCAGAGATGCCACCTTTTGGATGAAAAAAACTAAACTGAGTTCTGTATACTCTCAGGCAGAAGAATTCTATGGTACTGTTTTGTAGAGCATGTGCAATATCTTTGGTGCCCAGAAATATTGATCCCTCAGGCCAGCATCGCTAAAAACAAATCATTATGCTATGTAATGTTACTTTAGTGGAGTAAGACTGGAGGATGGTAGACCAGCTTTACAATTATACTCATAATTTGAAAATATGATTTGGGTATGGAATAATTAATGATCAAAATTTCAAGAAGATATCCAATTGGTGGTACAGCTAACATTGAGGAAGAATGTAACATAATGAAAGAACACAATCGTAAACTTTAGACTTGGGAGTTAAATGGCTTTAGCATAGATGGATGTAAGATGACGCACTTTGGCAGAAAAGCAGAAATGTCTTTCGAGAAAATGAGAATCTAATCTGGGAATAAAAAGCAGAACCATTATTGATACAGATGAACGTATTATTAAATACAGCATTGCTGGTCTACAGAATAAATTGAAGGTCAGAAACTAGTTTTACATGCCCAATTTTACATTGTCTTGAAGTCATAGCACAGATTTTTTAAAAAATTTATTAACTTTGTATTAGTGTAAATATTGAATTTTGAATATGAGAATGCAGTGTGTCCTTACTTAAGGTTAGGGTTGTATTCCTGAAAATTTTAACTTAAGAAAAGCTGTGAATCTCATAAAAATCAATCTTAAATATGAACTATAGTGCCTTCCTTTGCAGAAAAAAGTAAAATATTACACCTGCATGTTTTAAGTTGGAGTACTATACTTTTAGTAGCTAAATTCAGGCATTGATAAGTTAAATAACTATTAAAGTAAAATACATTTAAAAATAAAAGAAAAATGCAACATTCTGGTTATAGGCCTTTGCACTTTGGGCTGTGGACCTCCTGTTGGGACCATTGCTCGTTCCTGGCTATCTTGTGACCACTGCCAGGGTGTGTCTTTTGGGTGTTTGCGGAGCCCCTTGCTGCTGCTGTCTCCAGGGTCCACCTTGGTAAGTGCCACGGCATTTGCCCCCTGACCAGGGGAGGGGGATTGTGCTGATGTGGCTGGGTACGTTGGCATTCTCTGTCTCTTCCCTTTGTGACGGGGGCCAGAAATGTGTGGCTGATGGCCCCTGGGGCAGCTGATGGGTTTTGTCTGTGTTGGGGGTCTGAGTGTGATGGCTACTCTGGTCTGAATGGAATACAGTTCTCTCACATTGTTCCAACACCTCTGGCCAGGTGGAGTGCTGCCACATACTGTCATGGCCAGTACCATGGGGCTAGGCCAGCAGAGCTGGGCAGTTCCTGAGGATGGTAGCAACCTCTTGGGGTGATGCTGAGAGGCATATTTGGTGTGGTTGGGTGTGTTACGGGTGGGGGCTGTTTGATGCGGACCATGGGCAGAGGTACAGCTTCAGGATAAGTTGCAAGTCAGAAGGCTGGGAGCAACCTCACATCTGAGAGAGGGAGCAGTGACAATGAAATGGTGCTAATTGACACAGGTCCTGTAATACAGTTTAAAAAAACCCTTAAACAAATTCTACAACGGCCCACAAGATTTTTGTTCCTAATAGTTTACTGACGTTAACATGTGAAAATGCTAGGCAGGGCAGTATTAAAAGTGGACTCCCTGTAAGTGCCAGGAAATAATGTGGCTATCTGAACACACGATGCTGCAGCAGTTCATCAGGTCTGGCATCATCTGTGGAGAGAGAAAAACAGAGTTAATGTTTCAAGTTTGGTCTGACTCTTTTACAGAACTGCGTTCTCTCTGCACAGATGCTGCCAGACCTGCTGAGCTCCAGTATTTATTTTAACTTTGTAGTATCCACTGTGTTTTGTTCCAATTCCTTCATGTGGGTATGTTTGTTTATGATTCATTGCTGTGATGACACGAGAGTTATTTGTACAAACAAATTTTGATGTCTGATGGTATATTTTGATTGCTATTATTTGGTTGATGGTTAGAATAATAAGATTTGTAGAAGAACAAGCAGTTTCAGGGGAGGTGGTGCTATACAGGTAGTCACTGAACTAACAAGCTAATTCTCTGTAGATACAGATTTAAATCTCATCACGGCAGTTGGTGGCATTTAATTTCAATTTAAAAATCTAGAATTGATAGGTAGTCTCCATAGTGCTGATGCTAAAACCACTGTCAATTGTTGTTAAAAAAAAAATCTGGGTCACTAATGTCCTTCAGAGAAGGAAATCTGCAATCCTTCCCTAGGCTTTATATGAGTCCAAGCCCAGAGTAATGTGTTTGACTGGTAAATACTTCTGAAATTACCTAGCAACCACTCATTTCTATCAATCTGCTACAGAAAAGTCAATTAAGGATCAGTACTGAACTGATCAATACCAGCCGGCATGAACCGAAAGCTACAACAGAGCAATTAGCCCTTTCGGTCCGACAAAATCTTCCTTACTAACATCTTGTGAGCTCTGACTGCAGTTGTGAGATCAAGTGAAAATGCTGCTGTGAGAGTATGAAAAGTGAACAAGATACCTGAGAATTTCAGAAAGTTCTTATCAAGAGGAAAAGTAACTCTTTATTTCTCAAACTCAAAATCTAGAGTCACGCTAAGAGATTCAGGATCCACTCAAACTCTTTTATAAAATAAAAGAACTGTGGATACTGGTAATCTGAAAATAGAAATTCCTGGCAAAACTCAGCAGGGCTGGCAGCACGTGTGGGAAGAAAGCAGAGTTAATATTTCAGGTCTAGTGACTCTTCCTCAGAACCTGTTAGTAACTAGGAAAAAGTGGTATTTATGCTGAAACAGAAGTGGAGGGAGTGGGGGAAGGGTGAGGTGAACAGTTTGGTGGAGACAGAGCCCAGAGAATGATATGAAAGGGGTAGGTAAACAAGGAGATGATGGATAGCAGGCCAGAGAAAAGCTGAATGTGTGATAATAAGAGATAAGAATGAGTTAGCTGTGCTGAGTGCAACCTACATGATATGATAATAAGCTGAGGAGTATGTGGGAATGGCTGACTGTGCTAAAAGCAACCTATGTCATGACAGGACTGGGTGCTGGGTAGGTGAAAAAACAGGGCAGGATGGAACCAGGCTGGAAATTTATTGAACTCGGTGTTGGGTCCAAGACGTCCTCAAGCAAAAAATGCTGTTCCTTGAGCTTATGCTGAGGCTCACTGGAACACTGCAGCAGGCCTGTGACAGAAATGTTGGTGTGGGAACACAATGGTGTGTTGAAGTAGTAGGCAACTGGAAATTCAGGGTCATTTTTGTGGACAGAGCATAGATGTTCTGCAAAGCAGTTACCCAGTCTACGTTTTGTCTCCCTAATGTAGGGAGACCACATTGTGAACAGTGAATCTGCTCACCTCTCCCCTTCCCCTCCCCATTCCTAACTTTGGCTTCAGCATAAATACCAATCCTTCCTACCCACTAACAGTTCTGATGAAGAGTCACTGGACTTGAAATGTTAACTCTGATTTTTCTTTACTGATGCTGCCAGACCTGCTGAGCTTTTCCAGTAACTTCTGTTTTTGTGCCAAAAAAGCCCATCTGGTTCACTAATGTCCTTTAAGGAATGAAACTGCTGTTCTTACCTGGTCTGGCCTACAGGTGGCTCCAGTCCCACAATAATGTGGTTGACTCTTAACTGCCCCCTGGGCAAATAGGGATGAGCAATAAATGCTGCCTAGCCAGTGACCCCCTCATCCTGTGAATGAATAAAGAAAGCAAATCGTAAACCCTCACCATGTGGGACTTTCAGTAAGATGGCGATGGAGAAGTGCTTCTGAGCCAGGAACTTTTCTGCTCCATCCACTTTTCTCTTCTCATTTTATTTTACTTCCCTCTTGTTGAAGAGCTCAGTTGTGGCAACAACATTGCAGTGACGAGTGAGGCCATCGTAGACTCCGTGGGCCCAGCACAGACACATGGCAGTGGCGACGGAGATGAGTTTGGTTTCCGTTCAGCGCAAATTCATGGAGGCAGTGGCGGAGGCGAGTTTGGGCCCAGGACAAGACCAAATGGCATTGGCAGCGGCTGCATTGGCAAGATTGGCCCAAAGCAGACTCATGGTGGTGGTGAAGTTGAGTTTAGGCTGGTGACGTTAGTGGCATCCAGTGAGGACTCATAGTGGTGAGGGAGTCGGTGGAGGCGAGATGGTGCTGAAGAGTGATGACCTTTGTTCCATCGGTGGCACAACAAATGGACATGTGCTTGGCCACCAGACCCAAGGCCCAAGACTGGAGCACTTAACAAGAAGGAATGTAAAGATGAACATTTTTTCTTTATTCCTTTATGCTTTGATTTATTTTTCTGTGTTTTAAGATGGCCCCTGAGAGTGACGACATTATGCAACACTTTTCACTGTATTTTGTAACAAGACACATGGAACAATAAATAAACCAAATTAGACTTCCAGACATTACAAGACTGCTGATAACTGCTTGCTTTGACGTGGAACCCTAATGAGAGTATTTGTTTTGTCACTGGTGGGACAGAGCTTTGGTACCTGCTGTTCAATTGATAGAATGAAACCTGTGAGGATGGGCTACCCAGTCGATCTCTCCTATTTCTGAAAAGATCCCGCATCTGAGAGAGTGATTGGAAGGACTGCTCAATATTCAAGATCCTGAGTAATCTATGCCTGAGAAACTTTAGAGACAACCATGCATGATTCATGACTTGGACACACAGAACATCAGTGACAGAGTTTGGAACATTCAGTAATTTATGCTTTCACTTTTTTTTCAAAAAGGTATCCTGTTTTATTTTTAG